GTACCCCACTTGTGACACTAATCCAGTTTGACTGAACTACATTTGTAACAACCCTCTGCTTTATTCCATCCAGCGACTCTTCTATCCAATTTGATAACTTATCCCTCACACCTATTGAGATAATTGTTTTACAAGCCTTTTATGTAGCACCTTCTCCAATATTTTCTGAAAATCCAGATACACAAAATCAACACTTTTACCCTCATCTACATAAGCAATAACCTTTTCAAAGAATGTTAAAAGATTTGTATGGCAAGATTTTCTATTAGTGAAACCATGTTGACTATCCAATACAATTCTAAACTTTGTTAAATGACTTTGCAAAGCATCTTCTATCAGATTTTCCAAAACTTTTCCTACAACTGATGTAAGACTAAAAAGCCTATAATTACTTGAACAATTTTTATTATCTCCCTTGAAAAGAGCAGTTACATTAGCTAACTTCCAATCCTCTGGTACCTGCCCACTACTCAAGGACTGACAAAAAATAGTAGCAAGTGGCTCACATACCCAATCTTTAACCTCCTTCAAAACTCTTGAGGAAATATTATCTGGCCCCAGAGCCTTATCTTTTTTAAACTTCCCAATTTTTTCTTAACAAGCTCAGAATTAATGCAGTCATCTAGTTCGATCTTGTTTCCATCTATCAGCTGTTCAAGATGTGGAATACTGCTTAAATCTTTGTTAGTAAAAACTAAAGAAAAAACAAAATTTAATAACCCAGCCATATCATAATCATCAGATACGAGCCTTCCTATATCATCCCTAAAGGGTCCTACCTTCATCCTAACATTTTGTTTACCCTTAATGTATTTAAAGAAATCCTTAATCATTACTGTTAATTTTTACATTTTCAATCAACATTTTCTCATATATCCTTTTTGATGTCCCAGTTTCCTTTTTTACTAACTTTATTGATCTTCTAAATCTCCTGTTATACCAGTCAATTTAAATTTCTTAAATTTATGATGCTTTTCAATAATTTTATCTCATACTCTTTGTGAGCCAACCTGATTTTTTACTTGCAGCTACCCTTTTCTTTCTATAAGAAATTTGTTTACCTTGAATAATAAAAAAAATTCCACATCTGATCAGTGTCTCCAAATAACTCAGCTTCCCAATTCACAACAGATAATTCTTGTTGCATCCCTTCAAATTTTGCTTTTTTGAAACTTGTAACTAAAATATCATTATTTATCTCCATATGCAGCAAAACATTGAACCTGATAGAGCAATGATCACTTGAACCCAGATGTTCCCCAATTTCCATCCTCTAGATCATTTCTATATTTGAAGTTAACAATAAATCTAAAATAGTATTGTTTCTAGTAGGTTCCTTGACTGATTGATAAAGAAAACCATCCTGAACAGTTTCCAAAAACCTTTCTTCCTCATGGTTTGACTCTAGCATTTTCCAATCTATATGCCTGAAATTAAAATCACCTATAATTATGACTTCATTAACAGCTCAAATCATTATTTCATTGTAAAGTTTCTCACTAATTTCATCAGTATCATTTGGTGGTCTGTAACAAACTCCCACTAAAAGCATTTTCCCTTTATATCCACTGATAGAAACGCAAATGGATTCAATCTCTTTGCTATTATCTTTGATATCCTCAACTTCAACAGGATGTAACTCACATTTTACATATAAAGCCGCCACTCCTCCCCTCTTTAATACTCTATCCCTATTAAATAGCCTGTAACCCTGTATTTCAATGAAATTTCTGTCATCAAAATCATCTATGTTTAACCATGTTTCAGTTATTCCCGTTATATCAAAATCCTCCATTCCTACCAGTGCTTTAAAGTCATCTTTTTTTTATTTCTTATACTTTTAGCATTACAACAGTAACAATTAAGCCTACCCTTATATCTACTTCTATACTCATTCCCTATGCTAAACTTTTCTCTGCCTCTTATTGTTTTTTGCATTTAATTTAAATCTGGCCCTCACCACTATCTAGTCGTAGTTTAAAACTTCCCTTACAGCTGAGTTAATAGCTGTATCAAACAAACCAGCCACTATCTTAATTAAATGTAAACCACCCATTCCAAAAAGCTTCCTTCTTCCACTGAACTGATCCCACAAGTCCAACCAGCCAATCTGTTCATCCTTACATACTAACCTAAGCCTAGCATTTAGCCCGAGTGACCTATTTATAACTTCATCTCCACGGGCAGTATCTCTGACAAAATTAAGTTATGGCCTTTTTCTTTAAATGCCTTTATCAGCCCCTTATACTTATTAATTAGCTCCTCTGACCTACCTTTCCCTACATCATTAACCCCTACATGCACCACAAAAACTCTATCTCCGCTAGTTCCCTTTATTATATCTCCTGCTCTGTCAGTTATATCCTCCACCTGTGCACTTGGGTAACATAAGCTGATTGTTTGCTAATGGCTATATTACATAAACTACACACATTCAGGTCTGCCAGTGTGCCACTTCAAAACTAAGTTTCTTATAGGTTCATTTTCCAAAAACATACAGTAACTTGTGGTTTCACAAACAAAAATATGAATTGTATATAAATAACCTACATATGAATTTCTATACCCTTCCTGCATAGCACACACACAACCATGACCAAAATGTTGGGGTTGGAATTTTAAGAAGTCCAGTGTGCTGAAAATACGTATGGATTTTTTTTAAAAACATTCTTTGAATTAATAATAGCATCTTAGCAAGGTTAAACCCGTACCTTAGGATGGGCAGAAAAATTATAAAAAGCAAAATCTAGAAGCGTGTTTACAAGCAAGACCCCCTCAAAGCTGTGCAGAATCAAATTAGAACTTTATTATTTTTCTTCATGAATTACACTAAACAAATATTACAAAATTATTAAATACAGATTCTAAAATATTTTGAGCTCAATTTTTAAGTATACTTAGAATTATTATTTCTACTTAAATTTTGAAATATGATATGCAGGTGTGCTCTCAACTTCTTAAAGGCAATCACTGGTCACTGGTCCAGATAGGATTAAGTTTCTCTAATTACTGTGTACTTATATAATAGTTACTTGGCAAATATCCATGCACTTACACATAACTACAATGCTATTATGCATACTTACAACACACTTAATTTGTAAAGCATTTTGCCTGAAATAAACCTAACCCTAACTCACCGAATTAACTACAAAAGAAAGGAAGCAATATAGTAGTTACAATACTGTAATTGTGATGGAAGTTGTTCAAAAATATCTTTCTTCTAATAACTTACCACCAAGCTATGCTTGTACAATAGAAAATAACAGAAATAGAACTTTCATTACTTGTTTAGATCACTAGCCTATGACTTTTTGAAACTGAGGTACAGGTAATAATGTCAAACCATGAAACAGGTTGAGGAACAGTGATTGGCTAAAAATTGATAAAACTACACTTGTATTCAAGTTACATAGTCAAATTGGCACTATTCCCCTCAAAGCTATTATAATTTTCCTCTATGGGGTTACTAGTGTTTTATTATGTTCAGAAAAAATTCAGGAAATTCACAAACACAAATGACTTACTTTATAGTATGCTGAAATCAGCCCAAAGTGAAACTTTACACTTGTTTTTTTATGTATACAATTAGATAAGAAACACTTTTTTATTGAATATCTTTCAACTTTGTAATGCTTATTTTTCTAATGTGTGGAATAATGACTACAAATTATTCTCCTGTATTCTTTAATTCAATGGTGCAGTTTGCCCTCAAGGGGGCTGCATCAATCTGCATGTGTGAGTTAATAGGTATAATTTATGAATCCTTAACACAAACAATTTTCAATATCCAAAAAAAATTATGACATGTTTAAGTAAATGTGCATACAATTTTGTTATATCTATTGAGCAAAAAAATGCATTTTAAATTTAAAATAATTTATCTTATTGAGGTTTTAAATATTCTTAATGTTGACTTTCTAGAGAAGTCATGCTACTTATAATTGTTTAAAACAAAAATATTCTTGTGAAGCAGTAGAATTACTAATCAATCATGACAAGGTTATCAGAATCTCTACAGTTTTAAGAAGGTAAATAGTGCTTTGTTTTAAGACTTCATTAAAATAAGACAAAAAATACCATTCATGTAAACATCTTGTCATATTATTTTACTGTCCATTATCTGTAATTTTTGTAACATACACATTGTATTACATTTTCTTCATAAAAGCATTTTTTGCGAGTTAAATTTCTTTAATTTACCTGATTTATGAAGGGTTATCTTATTAAAAACTACTCTCAAGTTCTTTTCCAAATTAACAAATTATTTTTTGATAAATGCAACATTTATATAAAACCGAAAAATAAGCTGAACAAACCTATACAAAATGAAACACCTCACTTCTAGAATGCAACCTATGTCTATATAATTCTGATGTGATTACTGTGTCTATATGTTACATATGGAAGTTCAGAGAAAAACTACAAGCATTTTGAAATAAAACATCAAATTTCAGCTAAAGTAATGATATGCAATCTTATAACAAAATGCATATGTCACAACCCTTTAATTAAAATCACAGACGTAATAGTTTGAAATATAAAACATTGTCCATATATCACTATAGCTATTATAACTTTTTTCATGTTTATTTGTTTTTGAATTTCACACAAAGCTACACAAGGGCTATCTGTGCTAGCCATCCCTAATTTTGCAGTGTAAGACTAGAGGGAAGGCAGCTAGTCATCAACACCCACCGCCAACTCTTGGGCTACTCTTTTACCAATGAATAGTCGGATTGACCGTCACATTATAACGCCCCCACGGCTGAAAGGGCGAGCATGTTTGGTGGTACGGGGATTCAACCCGCGACCCACAGATTGCAAGTCGAGTGCCCTAACCACCTGGCTACATCGGGCCCTTTTTCATGTACCATACTGTACGTACTGTGTTTAAAGTTTACACAAACGTTTTTGAAGCATACACATTTTTTCACACTATGTTATATACCCATATGTATTGCTTTACTTTTCATAAAATAAAAAGATTATATACCTACCCTTTATCAAACAAAAAATGATTTTTTATATCATTACCATCTCGTTCCCCAATCAAAACAGCTGGAATGGTAATTTCAGATGCTGAAAAAATTAAAAGAAAGTTTTATTTCATCTAAAAAAACACAATAGTCTAATAATGAAAATTTTTATATTCTCCAAATTTAAAACTTGTAAATAAAAGTAAATGAATAAATTAAACAAATTAATATCCAACAAATCCCATTGAAAAATGAAGCTTACTATAAAAATTATAATTTTCAAGTAGTCAAATATCAGATAATTTAACATAAAAGTTGAAACATAAAAAAATATATGATATGAAACTAGTATACAATTAGCTGCTATTCGATTACAAAGTTACAGATATGAATTGTTAAAAAAAAATGTTTCATTTTTTTGTACTATGATTCTGATATTTCTCAGATTAATTGTTTCAAACATCTTCAAACTCTTGAACTTAGTACTTCAGAAATTTTTTGCAATAAATATATTTATCTCACTTAAACATATTCAATTGAGTAACCCATGCCACAGCAATGCGAGTATAGTTAGTCTTGGGTACCACATCACATTTAAATTTTTTTTTAATATAAATTTTAAAAACTATTGTTCTATTTCATAATAAAATTTAGTTTAAATTGCAACTGATCTAAAAGTGTGTGATTCATAGCTGTGCTGAATATGTAATATGTTAATACACTAGAAGTGAAAATTCACCTCATTCCTGTACTGGATTTAGAAATTTTTATGCACATCTTGTAGCTATAATTCAACACCATTTTACAGAAAATAAGTCAATATTTTATTTCATAAGTTTGTGAAATCTTCTTTAAATCAAAAGGAATCTGTCCAATTGAAAGTTATTAAATAATAATTGGTATTGTACAAAAGTAATACTGTTAAAAGGTACTCACAGTTTTTATCCTAAAATATTGGTAATATGTTTATATTGGCATTGTAAGTAATTACATTTTCAATTCACTGAATAAGTAATGTAGCTAGTACAATGAGTTCAAACAAAGTTCTATTTTCAGTTTTTCAGAACTTCTATATACTTTTTTTGTATTTAATCTTACAAATGAAAACTAGTATGGAGTAAATCAATATTAATATTTATCGCCACTGTAATAAAGCTTACTTGCAAAGAGTAAATTTTTAACCCTGAATTCGCGGCTTTACCAGGCAAAAATCCGTAGAATGTGATGATCAATTTTTACATCATTAGATCCAGTAGTACCAATTTTTCATTTTTGAGTGATGTATCACTTAGACTTCAATCTAACTGCTAAAAACCCAGCCCAAAATTGAAATTAATTTTGATAAAACTTCTAAGTTGGTTGTCAAAGTGGTATTATTTTGAAGAAGGTCAACTGCTATTTTCATTGTAAACTTGGCCAGAAACTTAGACGTTTTAGTGTATAAAATAATCAAAGGTACTTGAATTTACATTAGGCAAATCAATACTTCATTCTAGGTTCAGAATCACCTATACCAATAATTACTTAAATGTACTTGTACTTAGAATCCAATCCCATTCTATCTTGTTTCGCAGTGATCTGGGTTCTTAGGTACGTCTGTAAATCAGATTTTGAACTCACTTGGTAAATCTTATCTGCCCAGATAATTAGCCCACGAGTTGTTGCTACATAATAACTGCAAAGAACTTTTCCAATTACAGTTTTGTTCCCTGTTAAAGCATAATGCTCTGTTATGATAACTGGAGGTATCTTCTAACCCCCTAAGATTCTGAATATTTTGAGTGACAAGCCCATCCACATTTGAATGTTATAAAAATCATATAGTTTTTATAATAATACAAATCGTTTTCTGCTATTGTTTTCCATCTACAGTGTTTAAAGCCCTGAGTGCTGTAGAACAACTTATTTCCAGCAGATAGTATTATTTTATTTGTGTTTCTCATCACTCAAATCTTTGGGGTTAGAATATTCAACATGACATTTCCAGCTTTTTTTCATGCAGTGCAAGGCACTGTCCGAGATTATTTGAATAAGAAACCACTATAAGAATACTTTTAGAAAGCACCATGGAGTTCACACATTTCCTCTTCTTCATCACTGTTCTCATCTTCAATGAAAGCAGCTTTTTCTAAGTTTCTATTGTGACTTGATAAATCTTACGAGTCATCTCCTCCTTCTTTAAATTTGCTTGGGTAAATAAATTTAAAATCATTCATGCAGCTAACATACTTGTTGAACTAATTTGCCATAGCAGAAATAACTTTAAACCCATTTGATGCCCTAGCTTTATTGATTTTTACAAGCTATGCAACTGAATTTGGAAGCTCATTTGATTACATTGTAGTCACAAGCTGAGATTTAGTAATTGCATTGTTACCAAGATTTATCCAACTAGAAATCTACTGATATGATCTGGAAAAAATAGCTATCTAATAGAGACTTGCCATCTTACATTTCAGTATGGATAAATCCAATAATTCTTATTCCAGTTGAAGAAAAAGTTAGCAAAAGAAGTTTCCATTTTAATTTCTCTGAAACATATAGATTCAAGTTTAATCTTGAAGTAAATTATAACAACAGTGGTATCTTCATTTTAAACTTTGCTTCTAAGTTCATCATACACTTCTGACATTCACCTTTGTAAATTAGCAATCCTTAATCTATGTCCAATGAAGATCTTCAATTCTGCCTAAATATCAAGAACAGTTGTAGTTGATTTATCAATGACACACACATATCTTAACGCATTACAGATGGGTTACGAGTTTACTCATATTTCAAGCAGAACGTCTTTGTGTGCCATTTATTAAAATGTTGAGTTTGAAAGGAGTCTGACTCATTTTATTTTATTCATAACTAAACTATATTTTTTATTATTCATTTGAAACTTAGAGTATGTACATGTAGACACCTAGTAAATTTTTTAAAGTGTGGTATCTTGTAATACATTTTCTTAAATGGAGTGGAACTGCACAAAACTTGCATATGTATTGCATTTCACTTCTTTTCCTATGGGCAGTACAAACTCTGTAGGCTCTGGTATGAAATTTCTTTTTTCTTGTAGATGAAATGAACACAGGAATATGCTGCTTCATGTCACCAGACAGTCTTCTTGGGGGACCCTTGTGAGGGACTCTCCTGTACCTTCAGATGATGGGCTGAGTTCGTTTCTCTCTAGTTCCAGTGAGCTTTCTTTCTCTTTGTCAGTTATCCATTCTGTTGCCACTGCTTATATATATATATATTTTTGTCTGTTGATTCAGGGCTTTGTAGATTATATATGAATTGCAAATGCCACAATTTATTAGATAAAGTACTACCTCTTTTGTCTATTTCACTGTTTATCTGAGAATGGTGTAGTACCAGAGGTACTGATTTGCACGATCAACATCTTTCAAGTAGGCATTGTATTGGAAAACACACACAGGTTTTTTTTATTCTTTTTCCAGTTATTCTATTTTTCTTTCCTGTGGTAGAAACTATTGAGTCATGCATGGTTGAAATCATTCTCACTTCTCTCGCCTTTCTATGTGAAAACAAGAACATTATCTTTTCTATGAAAATCTGTTTCACATTTTTTCATTGTTGAAACTTCAGGCTTGGCAGCAGCCCTCTATTTGCTTCGATTGTTCTGCAGACTCATTTTATATTCTAGAAACAGGTTTGCAATGGAAGTACTGTTGTAATAATTGTCCAGGTAAATGTAGTGCCACAATCCAAGATTGGGAGCAAGAACTGATAGAATAGTCTACTTCAATTTTTTCCCATCACAAGTATAAATCCCCATATTGCAAATATAACCTGTGTCACTCTCTCACACCATTCTCACCAGCAGTCCATATTTTAAAATTTTTGCAGGGTTTTACGTTTGGTATCTTAAACGTCCTCTCCATGGAATCATGCCCTCATCCAGTGACAACTGTTGCTTTGGTTTGTATAGTATTCTGTATTTAGTGAGGAAATAATCCAGTACTGGTGGAATTTTGAAGAGCCTGCCTGAAGACTCATCCATTTTCTGATTATCATCGAACTTCCAAAATGTTCAAATTTGTTTTAGCTCACTGTCTGTGAAAATACTGGGCTAATCAAAAGAGAATCTGTTAACCAATAATCTTTCCAGTTATATTTCCTTGTTTATCCCATTAGTAGAATAACGCCCAGGAATTTCTTCATGTCTGTAGGTGTAACTTCAGACCATTGAAGTCCTTTAAATGACATTTTGTTTCTCTGCAGTTTGATTATAGGAGGTACACAATTCCTGACAAAACATTTCAAACAAGTCATCACCAGACATTAGACTTGTCATGGCAGCAATACTTTCAGGTTCAGATGGATTTATAGTGACCCCTGGATTTCTTTCAAACATTTCCAAGTTCAGTGGAATATCTATTTCAGTCCAATTATCATTATCACAATGGGAAAACAAATCACTAACAGGAACATTTGTAGAATCATCATCACTTTCTGATTCAGAATCAGTTGAGAACACAACAACTTTACATATCTTTGTAGGTCTAACAGTGTCACTGAAGCTAGTCACTGTCAGAATGATCCACAAACACATCCACATCAGAATCTTCACCTTCACTTGGAAGATCTGACAAATTATCATCAAATAGTTCAGTAATCATCTCATCTTCACTCAACATGTTACGTTTTCTGTGAGAAGCCATTTATAAAAAATATGGGTATTGTAAGCACAATTCAGAAAAATAATAACCATATGGAACAAAATAAAATGTGTCCATCTCCTTTCGATTGCAACGTTTTAATAAATGGCACACGAAGACATTCTGCATGAAACACGAGTAAAGTCGTGACACATTCACAATGTGTTAATAATGTTATCATTGATGAGTTTAAAACAAAGACTTGCAACCTAAGCAATCTGTATTTTTGCTGCAAAATTCATTCTTGTTTAATTTGAAAGCCATCCTTAATTAAAATACACTGAGCAATCACGTTCAAATTTTTAAATGGTCATTGAAGAAATATATAGTTTAGAAAATTCTAGCAATATGCATTCTTTTTTAGTAATTAACTTTTCTTATTCTGATTTTACAGCAATCTTGTCCTGAATAACTTTATGTGGTATCAATTGTATCACTGACCAGTAACCTAGTTACATAATCTATTGCTCAGAAAAGTTCAACACTGTTCAGTGCTAGTTCATTCACAATTTCAAAGAATACTGGCTGGCCCAAAGATGATTTCTTACATTCAATATCACAACAACATGTCTTTTACATCTGAAACATACTTTCTGGTAAGCCTTCAAGAAAGAGCTGGGAAATTAACAATGACAAAACCCACTGATAGAATTTTTGTCCCCCATGAAAGATATTTGAATTTCTGGTGAAACAATGAAAGCAACTGTACCTTTAGTAATTTACACATCATTCCTTTGCACAGTGCAAATAATTGGTTACACCTATTCACCTACAAGCAACTTCTGAAAATCTTACCGACCAATTTAATATCCTTTCCCAGATATTGATTTTGCAGTGATTTGTAATATCTTGAAGAGTAGTATAGAGTATAAACTGACACAACACAGTCCATAATTATCACTTTTCAGTGAAGTTTGTCTCCGAGGTGGCTTTACAATTAATACAATTTTCTGTCAAACTTAAGTTTCATTGCTGTTTTTCAACATAACATTAACTTCATTTGAAAAGAAAAAAAAAATCCTTCTCGAATTCAGTTGGAATATTCAGATACAATATTTGCAAAATATCTCGAATGGCTTTTCTTAAAATGCTCACTTTAGTTTCCCAGATAATCTTTATTTCGTTTTGCCACTTAGAAGCATCTTCATGTAATATTTTTTGACCAATCTCTGTTGTTTTTCCACAAGTACATTCAATGTCAATATGCTTTACATTCTTCTTAGCAATGGGGATAAAAATTTCAACATTAACATCTGAATCATCATCTTCAAGATACAAGAAATAACAGTTTTTGCTTTCAAAGAAAAACTTTATCTTTTTACTTCTAGTTTTCTTTGTATTATTTTTGGAAACTGTCTTTGCCCTCTTTTTCCTTGATAACTTTCTTTCCATTGACATCCCTTTACAGTAACATCCACAATGACTACATTTACTGCTTTGCAGTTTGCAAGAAGTAGAAGGCTTAGGATTATCTTCTGATGTTTTTGTAGTGTTTATATTTGTTTTCTAAACTCTAATACAGGAAATAGCACAGAAAAAAAAGCAACTGATTTTTCTTCAGAAAACATATGGTTAAAGCAAGGGCAAATAAGATGAATAACTACCCAGTGAGAAAAAAAGTTACCAACATTTATATCTTCATGGAATGGAAGTCCTAATCCACAACTAGTGTTCAAACATATTATTAGTATATTTAAAATTTTCTAAGTGTTACATTCTCCAGATTTATCACCAATCTGGGCCTGATTAATTTGCAAATACAGACTTAAATAGAATCAGATACCCATTTGATAAGTATCAATCAGTTTTAACAACATAAAATGATTTTTCTCTTCTTTACAACACAAACAACATACCTTCATAATGTCAGTAGTGGTTTTAAGAGGTATTACCCAAGAAGATTAAGCAAAGCTAAGTCTGTCTATACTTCAGAAAAATTATTAATCTTATAAAAAGTGAAAAACAAAGTATTCAGTATAAAAGTAAAAGAAACTGGGCAGTTATTAAGTGAAAACACAGTATGAAGTTGTCAAACAATTAGTCTACTCATTCATGGTTTGAGTATCTTTAATGTTATTTACCCAAAGCTAATACCACTAATATATTTATACAATTCTCAATATAGCACTCTGAGAACAATGAATTATACTTAATTGACATGCATTTCCTCCTGATGATTAGTTGGTTAATTTTTTTTCTCTGCAAATACATTTCCAAGCTACACTTAGAATTAGATGCTTTTTTTTTCCAAATTCATTAATATTAACAGGCACAAACACCCGATATAAGCTACATAACAATTACAGAAAATTATGTTATTTGTTATAAAGAAATCCATTATTATTAATAGGCACAAACACTTGATACAAGCTTCATAACAATTACAGAAACTTTCATGTTATTTGTTATAAAGAAAGGTATTGTTATTAACAGGCACAAACACTTGATACATGCTTCATAACAATTACAGAAAATTTCATGTTATTTGTTATAAAGAAAGGTATTGTTATTAACACATTTGCATACAACATTTATGTACATACAAAAGAGTGCAAGAGAACCTGATTGAGAAGATAAAGAAGAATGAAGAGCAGAAAGAAGAAGAAGATTCTGGTAGGACCCACCCAAGGAGAGTTGACCTCTTGAGCTGAAGGGCTGTAGACTGTTGATTCCTTTATTGTAAATTATGGCAGCATCATAACCTGCACTCTCAGCTATAAGAACCTGGAGAGAGATATCCTTTTTTAAACACACTGGAGTGAAATTTAAACATAATCTTGGTTTCTGTTTCAAATGAAGTTCAAGTAAAAAAATTCCACCATACATGTAATTATTTGAACATGTTCTGTGATTAAAATAGTATTATTCAAATAAACATTATGACATACAATATCACTCGAATAGGGTGCAACAAAAAGGCTTAAAACATTTTGCATACAGATTTTGAAACAGTGTAAAATGAAGGGATTTGAAAAATCTACTACTCCTGTGTTGGGCCATTAGCACATTTATCTATACAAAAGTAAAGCAGATGCCAATGTTGGAAAGAAGGTATAATGTACACAAGAAGATGCATTTAATGAGATGGGGATAAGTACAATAAGTAGGGGAAATATTACAAATGGGAAAGTAAATCAAAACTTAGTAAGAAAAATAAATTTAATTAATTAATTAAATTATAAGATGGGAAGCAGCATGACAGTTAAAATCATCAACAAGTATAGCAAATATTTACAATAGTAATAAAGGTGGTGTTGATGAGATTGTAAGGAGAAAAGCAGCAAGGATGCCAAAACAAGGCACAACAAGAGATAATTAAAACCATCAGGTGGCAATTCAACACTAGGGAAACAGAAGTTTAAAAAGGACATTGATAGTAAAGAAATCTTTGAATGTAGTGCAAGAGAATTGCCATAGCTATACTGAATGTTTCGGAAGAGGCTTACCCTCTATTTTAAGTACATATAAATGGCCTATAAAGAAACTTTTTATGACATTTTTAAATTTCTCTTCAATTGTTGCTGAAACTTTTGTTTAAAATGTTAGAACAAACATACAATTCACTTTGAAACATCCAAAATAGAAAAACAGACACAAGTTATTTAATTGCAACAACCTTAAACAATTCTTCTAATAGTTGCTGAGATAGAAACTGATTTATTTATGTGAATTTCATTGGAAAAAAAAATTAGTCTATCCATGAATATGACTTGTATTTTTGTTTTCAACTGTATTTCATTTATTCAGTGTGTGTTATACTTTAAAATTGCAAGACAGTCTGCATTAGTTCTGTACAATTTCAAAAAAAACTTTTGATGAGATATTCATTATAAAGCAACTTAAATCATATGCACTTCATTCAGTGGCACATGAAGAAAAAATATTCTGTAAACATAATTGGCAAAACTGTAGCAAGGTGCTAAACACACAAAGAAATAATACAGAATCATTACACTGGTTAAACAATTGTTAAAATAGGAGCCAATCTAACCAGCAAGTGATGTTCGAGTTGTCGTGTGTTGAACCAGCAGTAGGCTGAAACTTCTGAAATATCTAGTACTTAACAAAACAAAGAACAAGCTGTTAAGTAATAATATTTTTTTTTAATACAGTGTGTAATTTACAGAAATATTAGTAAGTGATTCCAACAATGCATTTAATTCACCACTAAATGGCTGAAGAGATTAAGTGGTTATATTGTTTAAACTGTCAAAAAGAAAAGAGAGAGAGAAAAAGCTAATTGTTTTATAGTTTCTTGAACATAACCCTCTCACAACAGACATATCAAAGCGTGCAAGTTACAGCTTTTTAGAGTTGCATTCAAAATTTAATTAAACTACTTCATTATCATTGTACACAAATAAACCTGGCATCAAAACTAAGTCAATTAATCAAATTTTAATATTATGCAAGTTTTAAATTTTAATTTCATGAGGAAATATTTGAAGAATCCCAATCTTCCCTAGTATGAAAATTGTAACATTTGTTTTATACATCTTATCTCTTCTCTAATTTACTTCCCACCCCTCTGAGAAGTACAGAATTTAATGTAAGTTACTCAGGCAAAGCATAATTTTTATTGCCTTCAATTTCATTTGTTTACAGAGCCATAAACTAGAAAATCAGACCCACTTGCCAATGCTTACCTGTCACATCCTCTCTTTCACAAATTGCCAATAGTTCTCTGACATTTTATACTATATTATATATAACCAACAGAAATCCAAAGCTTTAATCTATCAAATGATGTATTATATTACATCGTTTTCTATACAGAGAATTGTCTATTTCTTCATTCAGTTTCAAATTTATTCTCAAAGGAATCATGTCAACTAACCGAGCTGGATTTTTTAAAGGCTTCTAACACATAGTTAGAAAGCCAGAAAAATTATGATAATTAGAAAACATTTTTGCTTTTTTCATGTTATTATTCTATGATATTTAGTGTGGTAGTGGCATTAGTATAAAAAAATAGGCTTAATTTCATCAAAAGTTGACAGCAAAACAAAACAAGACCTTGAGAGTACTTTATTTCTTGTTTTTATGTGCATTCTATATTTATTATAATAAAAGCAATTAAAGTGTAAAAATTAGAAATAAGATTATATTACACATGAGAATGAAATAAAATAATGATAATTCTTCATGAGACATGCTCATTAGCAGCTAGTGCATTGTTATTCAATATGGTAACATGAGCTGCATGTTTGCCTCACGATTTACAACTTTTGTGGTGGAATAATTAATTAGACATGGTCCAAAGAGCAATAAGACAATAACGGTAATTACAAACAGATGTATAATTTTATATGCTTTAAGTTATTAAGGATAAAGAATTGTAGTCTCATGTTACAATTTGCAGTCATTGTAGAATGAAAAATGGGTAATTTAAATATATATTTTTTTATATTGGTTAAAAAGGATAGTTAAATTGACTGAATGGTAGTTATTGAATAGTTAAGGTAGAGAAAATAACAGGTAAAATGTAATGTTTTAATGAAATAAAACTTTGGATATGTATTTAACCCTTTTGAGACGGGTCACAGGTGAAAGGCCATGCCATCTTGCATTTAAAATTTTATTCAACTACTATTTCATGAATTTATGTCAATAAGTTTGGTATGAAACAGTAGATTATAATCCAAATTTTAGAACTATACATTACTTAATTTCTTAATTTAAATGTAAATATTAAAACAAACACAGATAAACATCAATTTTTGTGTGTCACGTGGTATGTTGAATGCAGCACTGGTTCAATTAGATGTTTGTGAAGTTGAAATACTAAGTATACAGTTTCGTATAAATTAGAAACTCAAATTACAGATCTTGACAAGCTAGAATATAAAATAAGAAGGTCTTATCTTTTCTATTTGCTAAAATATTGCTCATGTAATAAATCCAACACAGTGGCACTCTGCTCACCTCTTTCCATTGTTGGAAATGCTCTCTTGTATACACTTACTTCTATATATGACATGAATAACCAATCAGAAGCTCAGAACATCCCTTAGTGGTTTTCTCAGGATTTCTAATGTGGCTAGCACCATTTTTTTCTTTTCAACCAAAATATTTCAATGAGGTAGGTTGTGTCTTTAGTCTGCTCAAAATTTCATATTTTTTTTAAAGAGTAAAATATATCTTAGTTACTAAGCTTGATAAATTATAGTCGAATTCTATGGTACTGATGTAGTAATTTATGATTTTTTAGTTATTCAAATGTATATATAAAACCTAAAAAAAATATTTTGTTTCATAACCTCAATGTACAAAATTTCTAAAGGCTTAGCAACCTATGTCAAGCAGAGTACAAAGGTTGTAACAGGAAGAGATAATTGTTTGCTTTACTTCTTTATTTACTGTTATATATGAGCCACATCATTTTAACTTCTGTATTGTTAGCGAGACACGGGTAAAAGGACAGTATAATAAAAATAATAAATATATATAAATGTATAATGTTATGAGATTTAAGCTATTTCATCTAAACATTTATGTTTATTTCATAATTTTCTTATGGTGGTTGCAAGATCATTCAAATCTACCGAATCCGTACAGATTAATTAATGAAAAATAACAGATATAAAATATAAAGTTTTTCTTAAGAAACGTTTGATAACTATCTCGACATAAAGATTTTGCATATTAAATTTCAAATTTTCTGATGCATTAAAGTATTTTTTAATCTTAAAATTACTTTGCATGATAGATAGGCAAGATGTGAAAAGAAAAAAGAGGCATGAGAGAAACATTGCTTTACAAACCTTGGGACTTAATAAAAAAAAATAAAAAAAAATAGATATTTTGCATACGAAAACATTGTAATGTTTACTGATAATCTGCCAAATTTCGTTAATATCCGCTTACTAATTCAAAAGTTATAGCATGAAAACTATAACAAGCACAAAATGGTTACAAGGTCGTCACATTGACTGACGTCATATTGAAAGAGTTAAGAGATTTTAGAGATTACACAAATAAAATTTGTCAATTTTCAGATGAAGAAAAGCATTTTTAATCTTAACATGAAAGTCATTTTGCTCTCAGAACAATCAACACTTTGACTCCATATAATCACAGACAATTTTTTAGAAACATACTTCCTTAAAAAATTGATTTTTTTCTTATAAACACTTATAATGTTTACTAAAATCTTGAAACTTTCATGAAGATACACCAAACATATTAAAAGTTGTAGTATGGAAACTCTAATGGTCATTTTGGGGTCATGTGATTGGTGTAAGCCACTGAGTCGTTAGCGAGAGTTAAAGTGTGTACTGTCATCTACAATTTCAATTTATCATAATCTGTAAATTTCTGTTACTTTAAAATCTACAATACATTGTACAATGTATGTATTAGCAATCAATAATAGTAATTTTGAAAATCAAATTTCCAATTCACAAATTTTGATTGTGTTGAGGAGAAAAAAAAGAGACTGAAATTTTATACATAAAATATGAAGAGACACTTAACTTATAATGTATGGATTTTTTCTTCTCAAAGCTAACATTATTTAGTTTTGATACGGTTAACTGCAACTTTAATTTAGTAATAGCTTTTTGTTAATTAGCAGCATACCACATAGAACTATTTCATTTAGTTATTATCCTCAAGATTAGAACACAATTTCAGTTTTACACCAATATGCCAAAAACAGTTTTCCAAATACAATACCACATTTCCATATTGGTTGTATTAATGACAACATCTATTGGATCATTTTGTAAATAAGAGGTGTGCCAATTAATTGATTGATAATCATAACTGCTTTGTCAGCCATAAAACTGACAAACCTGCATCGTATGATGTTTGGTTATAAAATAGGATAGGAAAACAAAAATCATTTATTTCGACTATAATTAATGAAATTTCAAGTAGCAGTGAATTCAAAATAATTTTATCTGTCAATAATCATAGTTACCAAGTCACAAAAGTGACAGTGATTATAGTTCTGTTCTCATGCATTCAATTTCTTCACAATATTATAATTGTTAAGTGAAGGTTATAACTTGTTACTGTACACAATGGGCACAGTGATAAGCTTGAGAGCTTATAATGCTAAAACTTGGAGTTTGGTCTTTTGAAGGGCACACAGTAGATACAGCCAATTCTACAAACAACCAATACTGACATATCACCATTATTTTAGTCTTATTTACAGGGACCATTTACTAGCAAGTGTGTGATGAGGTGTATTCTGGAGTGTCTTGCTTATTTTACTTATGTGGATAAATAGTCAGGATGATTTCAAATGGCATGCTTGCATAATGCCAGATATGGAACATTCTTCTGTGCTAGTTACAAGACAATTTGTCAGGTGTTTTCATCCTACAATATCAAAGAACTTAATTTTTTTAATAACCTTAAGTCTAGTTTAAATATTGCAAAACTACATTATGAAAAATCTATATTTTGTATTTTCATAGAGCAATCACACACAACTTTCAAATAGGTGATAGTTCTTTTTAACAGAATTTAGAATCATTAACACAGTTTCAGTATAATTTTCCAATGACATTTATTTTTTTATGTTTTTAGCAAAATTATTGCTTATTTTCCAGAAAACATTGTATTAAAATATCTAAGACCTCATTTAACAGGCAGATCTTAAAGGAGAAAGATGATGATATTTGTACTATACTTAAACTGACAATGAAATAAACTTTTAAAGTTCCTTTAATTTCTGATATTTGCAGAATGTTCTTACCTCAAGGTACTCATACTTACAATCAATATGTTTTATAGTAGCCATTAAGTGATATTAAGACCAATATCACAACTCTTTACAAAAATAATTACGCAAACACCACTTGAAATTACATCTGTATCAAATTATCTAAAATATTAGTTCCTTTTAAAATTAATTTCATTCAGCAAAACCACTCATTATAATTTTATTTTCCTTTAAACCAACTAACATATTCTAAGATTCTAAGTACTGATTGCTATTAAAACACTAATTCAAAGTGTATAGTAACACTGCTTACCTGTCGTTGCATAGAACATGATGCTCTCTCAATAAGAACAAACCATTTCAAGCTAGAATTGGAAGGATAAGGAGGTTTTGATATATATTCACAAGCATCTAAAGGCCTGGCTGTTGTGATGCGGCCCTGTAAGAAATTAAATTTAAGATACACTAACTGATATTACAACAAATATTATTTATGCTAACACACTTTTGTGTACATGTGTACAATATGATTATGATAAGGTTCGAGCTGATGGTAAGTTCTTTTAAGTTGGACAGGCCTGCATACTTAAACTTCATAAAAGTTGTTTTGGTTTTAATAACAGATTTTCCATAATTCAGCTATGCAGATTTCAAAAAAGAAAACTCTTACTTAGATCAAATTATTATTTCATTTACCACAATGAACATTTTATATTATTATGTTTGTTAACAAAAATATAAACGAAATGAAGAAAAGGGAAGAACATTGATGTCAAACGAATATGTATCCTCATTCATTCTGATTTTTTTTTTGTGTGAAATCTACGTATTTTTGTCTCAAACTAAGTGTTGTGGTCATTCTTTATGTTTTGCATTACGACAATTTGTGAAAAATCTGTACATGATGGAGAAAAATGGATATCATTTTAGGATTCAGTATATAGGAATTACTGTGGAACATGTAAAAACTTCAAGACAATAAAACCATCGCAGGCCTGTGTTGTCATTCGAAACCTTAGGTTCTTACCAGGCCATCAAAAATTAACTTTTTGCATCATTCAACAAAATGAGATTTAAATATAACATGGTTTCCAACATAACAGGTTGTTCCTAATTTATCTTTTGTTCTCATGCACTCAATTTCTTCACAACTTAACAAATGTTACACAAAAATTATTATTTGTTATTGTACACTGACATTTCAAAATGTACAATAAGAAATGACATGTTTAGTGATTTACAGAACTATTAGTTCAAAGTAGTTCCCCAGAGAAGTATTATTTTTGTACATGAAGAATTTATAATATATAATATTCAATACTGCTGATTACAATTTTGTTAAAAGTTGGATAAAAACTCAATCTGTAATCAATATAAGCAAAATCATTTTTGAAACTTTTTTTTTTCACAATTCAATGCTAAGGTTGTTCCATACATACATGCATGTCAAAACAAATGGTATATAAAGGACACTATTTCATTCGAAAATGCAGTATGTCCAAACGATATTTGTACAACCTTTTAGTGCTGTAGAGAGGTAAACTGCTTTATATATTCTTTCATGTTAATAAAGCACATAGTCTTTGTAGAACTTCATGATATAAAGCCAGTTAAAAATAAACTTTAATATGAAGGTATATATCAAACATTTATACCACAATAAAATAATCTTTCAACTACAATACAAAACCCAGCCACAGGGAACCAAAATCCATGTAGGGGTAGGAATGAGGATCATACCATCTTTACCTCAAGTTCAGCACAATGGAGGGTATCATGAACCCACTGCTCCATGAATGGGACACATGATAGTAATGTGATAAATTGTTTGACTGATCTGAGAACCCGACATCCAGATGATCGGCATAAGAAAGATGTCTTGGTAATGAAAACTAACTCATTTAAAACCATCTGACAGGAACTGCCACCAGTGCAAAAACATCGAGAGATAGCGTAAGAGGAAGAATCATATTAATTTAATTTGCCTAACCACTGTGACCCACAACATGAGTGGATGGAACAACAGTATAATTGATTGAGGCACAGAGACACCTATAAGACATGTGTGAGGACTTATGTTGATTGGTTCAGTTCTGAATCCAAAACCCAGCCACTGGGAACTGAAATTCAGGTGGGGTAGGATGAGGGATCCCAATCGAAGGGGTGAACTGTGTTTTCACATCTCACTCCAAAGATACAACATCCTGTCAAATAGACTCGTATAGAGGTGGAGCATCAGACTGGAGGACACCTTGTCATCTATGCCAGCAGAACTCCATCACCCTAGTCTCAACTGAATGGTTTTAACATTATCTGCATCATATATCAATATCAATTCAAGTGGTTGCCTCCATGGTCCAACACCTTAGCAGCTTGGAAATGGACAGTGGTAAGGACTCCCATACTCCATTGGAAATAAAAAAGGGGGAGAAAATGCAGTGGAGAATCTGGAAGAACATTAACACAGGTGACCATGAATACCCTAGTTTGAAAAGCAGACCATAGCTGATTCATTCAACTGAAGGCATGGTGGGGATGGGCAGCTATCCCTTTCTGCTTTACCCAAGAAGTCCATGGGTGAGTATGGTCCTAAATGGGCATATTAATGAAGAAAGTACATAATTAGGAAAAACCTACAAGCAATCTTGTGGAACACCCCAAATATGTATCCAGGTGAGGAGTACCTCACTGAAGGCATAGCAACTAGAAAACAAGAGGATCGAGAGACCTCTCCATCAGATAAACTTTGTAGGGACAGCGAATACAATCCGCAACTAGACTGAAAGCACACAGAACATGATACGTACAATACACAAAGATACATATCAATACTGAGCATGTGGGTCAAAAAAAAGAGATACAGGGTTCGACCACAAAAGGAATGAGAACAGGTGCCATCTTGGTGAGTGATATAAGCCATCACTGTAGAATTGTCATAATGGATCATGACCAGACGATTCCTGGCAAGATGAAGAAAATGTTCCAAAGCATGATGTACAGCCAGAAGCTCCAGGATGTTGATATGGAAAGATATTTTGATCAACCCATGCCCCCCCGCCCTAAAGGACAAGGAGGAGGAAGCGGAACACTCGCTGACATGCGAGTCTTGTCCAACCACCAATGAAGATTGCCACCAAGAGAAGGAGGAAAGGAAATAGGAGCCTCCAATGGATCCCATGCAATATTTCATAGAAGACCACATCCGCAAAAACAACAGAACCTCGTGATCTATAAGAGAGGTGGCAGTAAGAGCATGGAGAACTGAAAGCTCCATTGAACAATGTCAAATAGGAGAAGAATGAGCCTGGCTGAGACAAGTGATGTAAAAGACACCCAAATGGACAAGATATTGGGTAGGTACAAGGAATAACTTCTCCAATTTGAATAACCAACCCACACAAGCTGCCTCCAGAGGCAGTAGATGAGCGTGATGAGCAGATTCCTGTTTGGAATAAGCTAACAGAAACCAATCCCAAGGGAATAAGGGCTTCCATGGAAGACCACATCTCCAAAAGTGATAGAACCTTGTGAGCTATAAGAGAGGGAGCAGTAAGAGCATGGAGAACTGAAAGCTCCATTGAACAAAGTTGAATAGGAGAAGGTTGAGCCTGACTGAGATGAGCATTGTAAATGATATCCAAATGGACAAGATATTGGGTAGTCATAAAGAGTGACTTCTCCAATTTGATTAACCAGCCCACACGATCTGCCTCCAGGGACAGTAGATGAGTGTGATGGGTGGACTCCTGTTCAGAATGAGCTAACAGAAGCCAGTCATCCATGTAATGATGTAAGCGCAACCCCTGAGGATTCAAACCTCAGGCAAAAACCTTGACCACCCAACAAAAGATATACAATTGAAGAGCATTACAAAAATTACACGAGTACAGCCAAATGAGAAGTGGCAGTTCAGCAGAGGGAGCCACATGTGTCGCACTCTTATTGGTGGAGGGTTGTTGCATGATGACTTACTTGCAACATGCAGTTGAATCAGTTGATTGTAAGGTAGGTGGGAGCTCAAGGCTTGTGGCATGCAAAAATTTTTTTTCACATAGAGGGCAGCACTGAACAAGAATAACTATTTGAGTGAGAAGAGGTAAAGTATCATATCGGAATTAAAGTTAAAAAATTTAATTACATCATTCTTCATTACCTATATCAAATTTATCAGAAAATATATTTATACATCTCTTCTAAATAAAACAAAGTTTATGCTAACTCCTTTACATAATGAAAGTTTAATATTCTAACCACATGATAAAAAACTACCCTTTATCAGATCAATGTTAGTTTTTAATCACACTTAGACAAAGATTATTAAAATCCCTTAATTATATTTATAAAAAAATCTTATTTCATTCTACTTATGCATTTTTAAAAGTGATTTAACAAATGGTTACTCAATCACATTATAAAAAAACTTACTTTCCCCTTTTCCGTTAACCACAAAGACAGAAATTAGTATTAACTTCTGATTAAAGCAAATGTACCTACATAGATCAGAACTAAAAATATGTACCCAGTAATAAGCATAACCAACTAAGTATAATAATCAAATTATATTACTTATAATGATCATTATGAATTGTTTCATCATTTGGATATCCTCACTGTTATTGATATTTTTGGCCATAAACCTAATAATATTTCACAAGGTTCAGCCACCCCAGAAGGCTAAGATTAGTTCTAAATCTATATACTACACTAAAAATTTAATACAACACTAAACATAAAATTAAACTAGAAATAACAAAAAATAAAAGTAGGTATATTAAATATTCTAATTAACACTGAGTGTCCTCATCCAAATTCTTCTATTACATTAAACAATTGCCTCTATGCATCAATGTCTTAACCAATTTCAGACAAAATATATATGTTAACCAGATTATACAGAGCTTACTTCAGTTCTTCTATTATCTTAAAACAAAATTAGTATTTATTATTTATGTATAGTAAGAAGAAAACTTACCTTCATGCCTCCATCAGGTACATGAGCTCCAATGCTCAACTCATAGTCAATGATTTGCTGAACAGTCACATTTCCAGAAGAAATCTACACACACACACACACCACAAACAAAAAACGATTAATACATCATAAAACATTAAAAAATTGTGTAAATAACAAATGGTTACATTTACGTACTTTTGATCACAATAAAAATGCTTGCATGTCAGCTCTATAAATAATTTGAAGAATATATCAATACTTGTCTTGCACTGTTGCACAAAAAAAATCTAATATCTGGATTTTTTTTTAAATTATATATATAATGAATATTAGCATGCTGTTTTTATATGAAATGCTTTAAAGACTAGGTCCAAAGCCACGTTAACTGTTGGTGTTTTGAGTGTCAAAATATTTAAAAAACAACCAGACTACTAATTTAAACATTCCATTGATTTGAAATTTTCATCAATACTGTCATGAGAGTTCACAATACTATTGACACTAATAATAAATTAAATTTGTTTTAATATTTAAGTAAGCTAAAACCAGTGATACACCACTACCATAGTATTTCCCAATGTAGAGATAACCTTCTATATCTTCACATTTTTTTTGTTACTAAAAAAGTTGGATATAGTGATAGAACAAGTAACATCAACAATATTTAATCATGTAAACAAATACAGAGGATATATAAACTTCTGACGATAGTGAATATTTTTATGTTCAAAAAAAAGAACAGGAAAATGTGTGTAGGAAATGATTCTCACTCTTCAACAGTAATGAAATTTTTAAACTTACTATACACTTTTTTAAAATTACATGTAACATTTAAACATTGCCTAAGTCATTGTTCAATTACTTGAAAATAAAAGGTTAGCATAATTAGTGATATAAACATACATGGAGAAAAATCTTCATTTATAAATAATCTGGAGATTACATTACTAAAGCTAGATAAGATAATCAATAACCTATAAGCAGTGATTACAATGATTAGTATCACATAAGCTAATCAATTAATCAAAATTATGATTAAATGGACTGTCACAAAAATAAACTAATCAAGATTAGTGTTTTCATTTTTTACTATTTCCAACTATTCAAGTAATTGAAATATTGCTATTATGTTTATTTATCATTAAGCACAAAACTACATAAAAAGGCTATCTCAGCCCTGCACAATTTTAGCCTTAAGTTGTTTTTTTTTTACTTGAAATTTTTTCTGCCTTGAGAAAAGGAGGTTCAACTCCTATTGCCACCAAATGTGTTCCTTGTTATGGCAATGCTACTGTCACTAATTTTGAACTGTTGATTAGAGAGAAGATAACTAACTGTTTGGTAGCACCACCACAATTTTTTTCACAGTAAAATTGTAAAATTGCCTTCGCTATATTCAGCAGTTCAAGAACAAACTGTGTGTGTGTGCATGCTTGAGGAACACTGTACTAACTGATTAGCAAATATCTCTAAGCAACCAATTCTATGTAATGTCACTCTTCTAAATAACTTATGTTTCAAACAAATATTTAGTTCAGCAACTATATTACTGCAAAGATACCTTTTCAAAACAATCCATAATTATTTGAGTCAATTAGAGAAGATTTCATGCTTACTTCATCATACTGTGATAACAGATAGTGACTTCAAAGCCAAAGATAAAAATGAAATCACTTACTACATCAACTTCTGCAACTACTAATGCTGCATGAAACAAAGCTAGAAGGCTGACAACACTGTAAATGTAGAGTACTGTCACATGGGAAGGCATTCTGCGATGCGGGAACATCCTTTCATAGTAGCCAATACGCACAAAACATCCAAACAATAAATTCTGCTGCTGTTATCTGAAACTAAGAAATATGAGCTTAGCTTCAAGTTACATATTTACTAAGCATCTGAAGTTTATGCAATTAGTAAAAAAATCATTACATCCAGATTAGTAATTATTTTATTATGCTGGGTAATTACAACTACTTTGCAATTGTCAAGTCATCTTTTGCTAGTTTAATTTTAATTGATATATGATTGTTGGTATAATGTGTGTTAAGACACACACACACACAATGTAATTTATAGTATGGGATAGTTATTTCATTATATATAGACACACACACACACTCATATCAATGTTTTGAAACTGTTTCTTTGTTTTTGTGTTTTAAATGTTTAGTATTTGTGCAATTCAAATGTTACTTGTCTTGTATTTTGAAATCAAAGATGCAAGTTTCTCTATAAACAGTTCCTCCTTTTATAAACCTATTTTCAATGTTTATTATTTGAAAAGTATTTCTGCAGAAAATTTTAGTTTTATATCTGGTGGTAGATGTTTGATCTTGATTGACTGACTGGACTTTGATCAATATGTTTGCTTTAAAAGTTAGGATGGTTTGTTAGCAATGCCACTATGTTTAACAAGAAATGTGGTTGCTATCTAGCGCTTGTACATCTTTTCTTAAACAATGAACTAATATAACTTTACTAATTATTAACAGAAGTTTGTTACAAAAATGTATTCATTCGTTAACTGATAAGTAAACAGTTACTTGTATATACACACACATACATATATATTATATAGTCCTCTCGGCCTTACAGTGTTTGCTTAACCTAATATTGTTTACGCTTACAAATTGCAAAACTAAACATGTTTCTCTTGAGTTCTATATTTATCTTATCTTGAGAAGGATTTGTCCCTTTAGATCCTGCCCTAATCTATAATACATATTATTTGACCTATTTTATTTTCACATTACTGCATAGCTAATAATTGTTCATTTTTAAGCATAATTCATTTATTATCCATAAGCACTTTGATTTATTACATTTAAATAATTTCTTATGATGATTATTTTATCCTTTATTTCTTTTATTCATCTATTTTGTTTCAAGCCAATAACTTGTCAGCATTGTCTTATTTTTTTTGGTCACTATAAATATAAATCTATTTTTGAGGTAAGGAATTACTCCTTTGCTTCTATAACACTTTTATATTTAGTTCAGCTGAAAAGTGTGAAAAATAATAAAATTACAGAACTTGATATCAACTTCAAACACGTTGTGGAGTGGATATCTTCATGTAAAACTAGTGTATGTGGCCTGAATATTCACAGATCAGTCTAAATATTCTGTCTGCAGTTAGTCAAATTCTTGAGAACATCATTGTAAGGTATTTAAGTATTGTATTACAATTGGAACAAAACCTATAAACTGAGGAAAACAGGTACTTTTGTGATGTGGAAGCTTACATATTGATGCCATGTACTGCATATCATTTACAATAGAAAACTCAATCTCATCTAGCATTCAAGACTTCACAGAATTCTGGGAGAGCACACAACACAGCTCTTAAAACCATACCCTTGAGGGTAGGCATTTATTGGAGATATGTAAAAAAAATGCAAATACTGAAGATCAGTGGAGTACAAGTTCCTAAACATCACCAGGACGCTACTGCTGTGCCACAAAACAGAGTATCCAAACTGCTCAAAAGAAGCTTAATAATTACTTATAAATAAAAAAAAACTCACTTTTTTAATACACATGACTAAGTTGTCACTAGGCTGTCATAAGAGGTGGAAGTTGTAATTCACTAGAAGACAAGAGTTGGATACATATTAAGACTTTCACTTCCCAGATCTGTGGATGTCTTTCAAAAGTATCGGAGCCAATGAGACCAAGAAAATTATTATATTTTTGATTTCCAGAAAATCTGGAACTCCTGATGCAGGTCAAGAAGAAGGCAAATGTAAACATAAGAAATTAGCTCAACAGGGTCTTCTTTCCATGCTGATTTTTCCAAGCCCGTAAGCTTTTCTGCTCTGATTTTATTGTCACCAACAGCCAAAAAGTATTTTCTTTGGTAGGTTGACAACAAGCACATGACTCGGGGTATTTTAATTAAAATACTGCTGTAAGGGTTAATCCAGATGCTTCTTGTAAAATTAAAAACTTGTAAGGAATGGACTTCTGCTGACAACATTGTAAAAGTTCAAAATGAGAAATATAGCAGGGTAATGGAACATGTAGAAATTGATCAGGATAAATTTGTCATTTCTTGCCTGTAAATTACACAGAAAATAAAATAAAGAGAGAGAAACAAATTTGTCACACTTTCATTCCATAAATTATGAAACAAAAAGATCTGTATGATTAAAAGTAAAGTATAAGCAGAAAACATGCTGGTAATGAATATAGCATGAATGTCAAACTGCATGGGAATGAATGTTAGTAGGAGAAAGAAGTACTTATTCCAAGAGAGAAACAATGTCAAAAGAGGTTAAAGGTTCAAAAATGCTAAGTTCAAGTACTTAGGCACCAGTGAACAATTCAGACACAGCACTATTTCGTGGTGGAGAGCAGCAATCTCAAAGGTAGCACTATGTCTCTTTTAGGCTAATTGACAATTCTTCTTCCTTGAAGAGTTAGTAGAAAACTGTACACATCTGAGCCATGGATGGAAACAAGGAATCAGTCCCAAAATAGTTGTACTATCTTGAAAAAGTCTTCCACTTGGGCTGATAAATTGTGAGAGTAGAATTATGGCAAGAGTAAGCAATCCAACAAACAGCTCAGCAGGAGAAACTTTTTGTTTTTACTGTGTGTCAAAAAGAAGCCCAGGAATAGATATTCAGCTTGTTGAGATACCAGTGGAAATTGGAGGTTTTGGACTATCACAGATGATAAAACTAAAGGAATTGTATCAGAGACCTTTCTTGTAGATGTCCAACTAATGAAAAATATAAGGATGAGCTGGCAAGAGAAAAGCAACTGAAAAAACTCAATGATGATAAAAGCCAATCTGGTGATCACTCAAGGTACATATACATAGAAGAAACAATAATATCCTGTCCAATCTTGAGGAAAGGGGCTCACTATGATAAATAGTAAATTTGGAATAGGAGAGCAGAATCAAGACCAGTCTCTTATAAAAATTTGATCTGAGCAATGTGACAGACTGTCAAAGTGATTCTGATGCCCTATAATCAATTAAAAAAAAGACAAACTGTGATATGCTCTGTAGGCTAACCATATCTCTCCGACATTAACGTGCATCCCCGTACTGAGTGGAAATCAAACACTACACCTACCACTCTTGTAACATGGCTCCCCATGTAGTATCAGAACCTTTGAACAGATGTCTACATTTTAACTAAAATACCCAGAGTCATGTGCTTGTTGTCAACCTACCAAAGAAAATACTTTTTGGCTGTTGGTGACAATAAAATCAGAGCAGAAAAGCTGTCACTGAAAATTTCCATTGAAAAGTGAAGTCCCATTGTAGAACCTAAAGGCAAGCAGACTCTTGAGGGGAATATGTAGTGACTGTGACCAAAGTACCAAATAATGAATGGACCTCATGTTTAAGTAGAGTTAAGACATATATATGAAAGCACAGGTTAATACCTCATCAAGCAGCTTTGACATTTCTAAAATCACAATGAACAAGTTTTAAGATATCACTTGTGATAATTCAAAGTGTATTATAAATAGACAGATGCAACAGAATGGAGTGGACATAAAGAACCAAACCAGCCAACCAGCATCCCACACATAATTAGATGCAAGCTATAATTCAGTTTAATTAGATAATACTATATACCATGCACAATTAATATGGTGCATGTGGCACACAGTACAAGTACTATAAGGTTTAGGTTGAGAATGGAAAAGTGTCGAGTAAAAAGCACTACTGCAGAATCACTCCCCTATTTTAGCTACTGACACAATTATCCAGTGATAAGAGGGGCAGACAGAGATAATGACTTCTTGTGTGATGGAGAAACGATACTGTAGCTGAAAAGAGAGATCATTTGCATAAAGAGGAAGTTTCAGTAAGAGCCCCAAAGCATTCCTCCAATTAGTGATGAGAGGATTGGAGAAGTACTCAGACAACTTAGGGTACAAGTTGCTAATCAAAATAACAGTGATAATGATGTACATTTGAGATGAAGAACCAGAGATCATAGTGGGAAGCAGGTGACATGCAGGTAATAAACAGTGAAAAAAAAAAAAGTGATGGTACAAGTCCAGCAAACCTAACATAGGAAATGTGAGGTAAAGAAAAAGGCTAAAGTATGGTATGAGGAAAAAATAAAGTGTAGGGGTAAGAATTGAGAAGAAACAATAATGTTGCAGAACCAGTGTGACACAGACAAATAACAGCTATGAGTGGTAGAGTTTACATTCCTAATCACACTTCTCACGTACATCACCAAGTACTTTAAGTAATCATCAGATACCTACCTGGTCTTACCCAAAAAGGAAGGGTGAAGAGTACCTTCTCAAACTCTATCCAACAATGTATCATTGATGGGGGTCCAACTGGAATGTGACATCTTTTGATATATCTTAATGAAAGTTAATGATACTGATAGGAGCATAATTAATAATTCAGTAGTTTCGAGATGATACTAAACATACTCATTGAGGTACTACAAAATGACTTGAATCAATTGGTTAGTTGGAAAAATATTTGGCAAATGACTTTCAATTATAGTAAGTGCAATCCAGTGCATTTGGGTTTAACATGGACCACACATTTAATATAGCTGGGAATCAACTCAATCATATGTCTTAAGAAAAGGATCTTGACAAAATGGTGGGTAAGACACTCAAGCCATCAAAGCAGTGATCTCTTATGGTAGAAAAGCTAATAGTATTTTAGGGTATGCTTACAGACACTAATTACAGGTCAAAGAGGTAAGTACCTCTTTATATAAGTCATTAGTTAGGCTTCACTTTGAATACTGAACATTGACTTTTTGGAAATGATTCAGATGATGGCTAACAGAATGATTCCAGGGATGGAAGGGTTATATTATGGGGATAGGTTAATATCTCTTAACTTACT